CCTCCCTCCCTACCGGGGGCGAGCGGCCGAAGAATGGGGGCCGCAGGACGGACCCAGGAGCTGCCCAGACCCGCACCTGACGGCCCCCCGGATCGGCCCCAGACAGGGGAGGCGGGATGTGCGGGTGAGTGGGCATTTTTTTGTTTATGAAGAAATCGCCTGAAGGTTCGCTCGCTTTGCCAGTGCTCCATGCGGTGACGAATAGAAAAACACCTGCAGTGGCCCCGGACTCGGGCTTAAACAAGGAGGGTGAGTGGCCCTGGAGTGGCCCTGGAGTCGGAGGGCGAGTGGACAAAATAAGGAGAGAGAGAGAGAGAGAGACAGAGAGAGAACATCACAAAGGGAGCAGGAGGAGGACGCGGGAGGAGGGGGAGGCGCCGGGAGGAAGGGGGGGGGGGACGAGCGGATGGGGGAGAAGGAGAGGGACCACGAGGAGGAACGGGACCAGGAGGAAGAGGAGGCGAGGAGGCGAGCCTCGGCGAGAGCAACAAAACATCACGAGAATGCACCGAAACCAGACGCGCCAAGCCGGGCAATTCTGCAGCGGCACGAGAGGGCCCACCACACTCTCAGCCTGGGTGCGACTGGCGAGAAGCGGACATATACCATAGGAGCGGAAACATGCCAGAGGGAGCCGGGAGGGGCTGGAAGGCAACGGAGGGGCCCTCACTGGCGCTGTCTCAGGGCTGGACCTCAGCGTTGTTTTTCGCTTTGTTTTCGACTTGTCTGTCGTTTTGCTCTGCCTGTCTTCCCGTACTGCAGGTCCGTGCCGTGTCGACCCTGGCGTTGGTTCCTGACACCGCGCTGGATCGTTCAACCTTGAACGATCGGCCGTCTCCGCAACGTCCGATCGTTCAACATCGATCGATTCTGGGTCGCCGGCGGCGTTCAACCTTGAACGCCCGCGCTGGGGTCGCCGGTGGTCGACACGACGCAAACCTACCGTACCTCCCTCCCGAAGCGAGGAAGAGAACACGGCCGAGGTCCAGCAGAGCGGCGTTCAGGCCGCCCACCAGCCCTGCCCGCCGACGCTGCCCGAAGGCCATCCAGGTCGGAGAGACGCCGAGCGAGCCCACGACCCCCGCTCCCGCGCCCGTCGCTCCCGTCGTTCCTCCCGTGGCGCCCGTCGCTCCCGTCGTTTCTCCCGTGGCTCCCGTCTTTTCTCCCGTGGCTCCCGTGGCTCCCGTCGCGCCCGCTCGCACGCGGGGGCGCCCGTCGCTCCCGTCGTGCTTCCCGTGGCCGGGGGTCCCGGCTCCCCCCCCCCCCTCCGCGCCCCCGTGGCGCGCCGCCGCCGCCGTCGCCGCGGCGCCCGCAGGGGGTCGGCAGGCGGCCTGGCGCCTTCGTTCCCCCCCCCCCGAGGAGAGCACGCACGCCCTCTGAGCACTCTTCGCGGGGTGGGGGGCTCCTGGCGACATGCATCTGGGCCTGCGCACCTCGAAGATCAGTCCGCCTTGGGATCCACCTCCTGCAGACTCAGACACCGAGGATCCACCGAACCGGCATGTCAGATTTCACCGCCTGCCCGCCGCCCAGAGAAGATGCCCGAGCATTGCAGTGCAGCGCGTGTGTGTGTGTGTTCATGCCATGGCTCCCCTGTGGGCGAACCCTGGCTTCTGGCCGCTTTTGTGGCCTGCTTCTCCGACTGCCTCCGCCGCGTCGCTGCGCGCGCGGCCGCGGCGCCAAAAAGTGCGCTCATGCTGTCGCGAGGAAAACAATTCGAGACCATCGTATCCCGATGCGCCGCTTCCGCGGCTTGACGCCCTGGAGGACAAGTGTGTGCTCGTGTTGGTTCTCTGCTACGATGCCGCCTACGCTCGGACATTCCAGAATTGCCGCGACGCTTCACAAGGGAACCAATGCGATGTGAAATTGGCCCCCATTGTGTTCCGCGAATTGAACTCGCTGGCGCTTCGGAAGTCCAGATGTGTTTTTCTGCTTATTAGATTCTGGCCCGGATTGGGCCACAGACGGCTCAGCAAGCCAAGGATCTACCCAGATGTGTGTCCAGAGCTGCCCCGAAAGATCTCCGAGAATCCACCTCAAAAACTAACGCCCAGAGACCGTCCCAAGCCCAAACCCAAACGCCCAAGCCATGACAACTTCTAGCTTGCCGTTTCCAAACCTGCTCGTGATCGATTGGCTCCCTGTGCAAAGCTTGCTTCGCACAGCCCTGGGCTGCCCCCGTGCTTGGGTCCAGCCGAACGGGGCCCGCGACAACCTGAAGACGTGCATCGAAGGGCCCGAAAAATGCAATGCGGGGGCGCGGCTCCGGCCCCCAAGCTTCGTGCATCGCGCCCCGCGCTGCGCAGCGCGCGATCACCCTCGCGCCCAGCTCGTGGCGCGGGGAGCGCGATTGTCTTCGCGCCCCCTTGCTGGTGTGACGAAGCCCGCGGACAGAAAAGAGAGGCGGGAGAGCAGCCGCGGGAAGCGACCCTCCCCCCCAACTCCAGACAGAGAACACGGGACTCCAGACCTCCAGCTCTCCCACGTGGATGTTTGTTGTTGTTGTTGTTGTCGTCGTCGCCGTTGTTTTTGTGGTCGTTGCTGCTGCTGCCGTTGTTGTTGTTGCTGCTGTTGTTGTTGCTGCTGCTGTTGTTGTTATTGTTGTTGTTGCTGTTGTTGTCGTCGTCGTTGTCGTTGTCGTCGTCGTCGCTGTTGTTGTGTTGTCGTTAAACTCTCACTTCAGAAGAATAATTATTGTTGATCCCCCCTCACCGGTGCAGATTGTTCTTCCTCAATCAAAAAGTGCCCCTCGACGCTCGCACCCTGTTTTATGACTGGGAAAGTCTTCCCGGTCAAACTGTGCCCTTGGCCCTCCGGACTACAGCAACAAAAGCCCCCGCTGGGGCTTCCTCCAAATTTACTCAGGACCCCCCCCCCCTCCCGTCCGAGACGTCCTCCCAATTTGCTCAGGAACGGCGCTCCCGCTTGAGAGTTCCCAAAATTTAATCCGGGTCAAACTGCGTCGTTGCTCCCTCGGACTACAACAACAACGGCCCCCGCCTGAGACTTCCTCCAACTTTAGTCAGGACCCCCGCTTCCGCCTGAGACGCCCTCCCAATTTACTCAAGATCGGCGCCCCCGCTTGTGACTTCCTCGCAATTTAGTCAGGGCCTCCTTCCCGTCTGAAACTTCCTCGCAATTTACTCAGGAACGGCGCTCCCGCTTAAGATTTCCTTGCGCTTTAGTCTAGACCCCCGCTCCCGCCAGACATCCCCTTTTCAGGAATTGCGTTCTCGCCTGTGACTTTTTCGCAGTTTATTCAGAAATCGCGCTATCTACGCTCAAGCACCACGCTCGCGCCAAGGACGCCGTCACATTTTACTTAGGAATCGCGCTCACTTCGCGCTGAGCAGCATCGCCAATGCCTGCTGCTGCGGCTTGCCCTTCTCGCGCACGCAGATCCCGGCGCTGTGGTAGTGGTGATCCGTTACTTTATGTAGCTCATGAGATTCACGCGCGTTCGAATCCCAGCGCCGTGATTCATGAAATCGGGCTCCGACTTCACCTCCCACGGGGCCGCTGGGCAACAACGCTGTTCACCGCCATATGCCGTTACCCTGCACGCGGTGACCACCGCGTTGTAGCTAATGTCATGGGGTCCCAGTGCCGATTGCCGCATCCCACAGACAAGTGCCAGAGCTCGCTGCCTCTGATTGCTGTTTCACCTCCCACTACTCGCTGATCAGCGCCAAAGCCAGCTATCACTATGCGGTTTACCCGCTCGCCGTGAATGCCGCATGTCGTGCAGCAACAACGAAGTCCGCAGCCCCTGCTGGTTCATCTCACCCACCCTGGCCCTGCAGCGCCCTAGGAGATGGCATCGGGCACCACATTCGCCTCCAACACCTCGCCGAGCAGCACAAGAGGTGTCACATGGCGCTGTTTATGGCGCGACCCATGGCGAAGCCTTTGTTAAGCTGTGTTGGGATAGCTGGTGCAAGCCATGGCGCAAGCTGAATCGCAACTCGCGGCGCAAATCATCGTCGTTCCTCCTTCTTGTCCCTCTAACCCCTCCCTTCCTCCGATCCCTTCGTCCTCTCTTTTTGTCTTTTCCCCTTCGTTTCCCCTGTTTAGGGGCTTCTCCAATTACACGTGGCCAGGAAGGAGTACACCCCCCAAAAGGGGGTACGATCGAAGACGAAGAGGGCGGGTATCCAGGGTTTGGGATATGCATAATGATTGACACGCGGGCCGGTGGGAGCGAATAGTCTTGGAATGGTTGTTGTTGTTGTTGTTGTTGTTGTTGTTGTTGTTTTTGTTGTTGTTGTTATTGCTGTTGTTGTTGCTGTTGTGTTGTGGTTGTTGTGGTTGAATTCTCTTTTCTAGAACAACTTTTGTTGGTCCCCCCTGTGCGGTGACCGTTTTATGTGTTCAATTCAAATGCTTCTCCCAGGGCTCGCACCCTGTTTTCTTACAGGGGAAAAAGAAGTGTCACCAAATTTCCCCCCTGGCCCCCGGTTTACAACAACAACGGCTCACGCCTGATACTTCCTCACAATTTAATCCAGCGTCGCGCTCTTGCGCGGGACTTGCCGGCAATGTACACCAGAATCAAGAATCACGCTCTCGCTACGGATTTCCTCACGATTTATGTGGGAATCGCGGCATCGCTTGAGACTTCCTCGCGATTCATGCAGGACGCACGCTTCAGCAACCCGCCTTTTCTACCTGGCCGCCGGAGCCCGTCTGCCCGACCCACCCGCTAGCGCCTACCCGCCCGATCTGCCCGTCTGGTTCTGCCACCTCTTTTCT